GCTTCCTGACCCGCCGACCCGGCTTCCTGATTGGTCAGGAAGCCAGGCTGCCTTGCAGTGTCATGAGGGAACCTTGAAGCTGGCGTTCTTTCGATAGAACACCAGCTTCCCAGGGATTCAGGAAGCGCCGCCTGGCTTCTTGACAAACGTGGCCCACAGTACCTCGGGATGCCGGTATCGGTATTCGGTATTGGAGAGTACAATAACTATGACAACAATCAACAAATCAGTAGAATCACAAACATGTTTTTATTATCAGTTTAATGAGCCTAAAACATATTATATGCACATTAAAGGTGTTAGAATACACATTACTGTGTTTATAGCAATAACTATTGCAGTATACAGTTTTGGTCACTAGATGGCAGTGTTTATAAGTTCTGTTATATATATATATATATATCTATATATGATACCCTGTTGTATTGAATAAGGTAGAGAATAAAGCTGTGGCTTTGTTCCTTTTGTTTCTCAAGCCATGAGCAGCATGCATATCTGACTGTGTGCTTGTGTTTCTCTGTGAGGCTGCGCAAGAACTTCCAACAAAAGGTCTGTTAAATTTGACATTGAAAGCATTTTATTAGATCTGTTTGATAAATTCATATAATCCCTATTTACCGTGCTGGAAAACTTGTGAGCCGATAGCTTCCTGTGCTCTCTGTCTAGATGTGGTGGCTGCCTTAGATTCCTTTTTCAGGCTTTTGTTCCTTCATTTTTCACCTAATAATCCTGGAAAACAATACACTTCCTGTCCTCGGGTGTAGGGATACACCGATACCGATACTGGTATCAGTGCTGATACTGAGTATTTGTACTCGTACTCGCCCAAATGCTCCCGATGCCTTTCCCGATACCGAAACTTCTGGTATCAGGAAGCCAGGCGTCGAGTCATTACATGCTTCCTGATTGGCCAGGAAGCCGACTCCATGTTCCCTCGTCACTTAAAGGAGAACTATGAGGTGAGTTCTTTTCACTCACCTCATAGTTCTAGCCGACCTGTGACAATGAGACTGTCACAGGTCGGCTCAGTAGATCGGGAGGTGAGGGAACACATACTGGCGTTCGCTCACCTCTCGATCCTGTCACGGCTCTCTGCCGTGACAGGGGAGGGGCTGGATTCCCCCCTCCCCGCTCCGCCAGCACTGACTGGCGGAACGGACGGGGAGGGGGCGGGTACAGCTGGCTCTGCCTCTAGATAGGCAGAGCCCGCTGTCAGTCACGCAGCTGGGCGGATCCCGGCACAATTGTCGGGATCCGCTTCAGCTGCGGCGTCTCAGTATACCGCGAGCTACAGCTCGCGGTATACTGAGCCTAGGGTTCACAAACTAGCGTCCTCCCATTACCCTAAGGAGAACTATGGGGAAAAGCATTAACCCCATAGTTCTCCTTTAAGTGACGTGGGAGCATGGAGCTGGTTTCCCGGCCAATCAGGAAGTTGGACGCCATGTAGTTGCATCTAAGAGTTAATGTGTCTATTGATTAAAATACTTATGTAAAACTGAAATTGAGCTACTGTTAGCTAGTACTGTTTAGCCATAGAAATTACAATTTGGTAATATGTAATAATAGTTTTTGTTTTTATTTTAACAGGCCAGTTCCAAATCCAAGCCCAATGGACAGAAAAAGATTATCTATTTTTAGTGTACCATTTTAGTATTGTTTTTGTAAATATTCTTTTAATGTTTTGTTAACTGTTCAACATAATAAAAAAAGTTTGTAAGATGTAATGCAGTGTTATGTATTGATTTTATTATAATATTTTAATGAACATGAGTCAGTGAATCTAGGTGAATTGTCAGGGAAATGGCAAAATATAGGCCAAAGTAGTTTGAATATTTGAATGGAAGATAATTATTTCTACTTCAGTCACTTTGGGCTAGATTTTGCAATTCTCTTGACAATTCACCTCTTTACTTTTTAGTGCATAGGCCCTATAAAAACTGAGACTTGCAAAACCCGTGCTGTAGACTTGCAAAACTCTTGCTGTAGACTTGCAAAACTCTTGCTGTAGACTTGCAAAACTCTTGCTGTAGACTTGCAGGGCTCTTGCCGTAGACTTGCAGGGCTCTTGCCGTAGACTTGCAGGGCACATTTTAGCTGGTCCCAGCTATTCTGAGCACATGGCAAATCCCTCCAGTATATGTACCTTATCCCAGCAAGCACCACTGGTTGAGAGAAACCTAGCGATTGGCTGCTGTACTGTACATTCACTACAGTGTCTCTCATTGGCTGTCCCACAATATGACAGAGCCACACTGCACCCAGGGGGGTACAGGCAATGCCAGAGACCTGGAATAAACCAGATAACTGCCACTATAATTCCAGCCAGGCTGACTACATATCACTAAATGTCTAGTAGCCACCTCACAGAAGGTGATGGTGGCTACAGAGGAAATCTAGAATAACCTTTGTTGGACCGTGACTGGTAGATTACTAGCTGGTGGAATACATCTTCTTAATGCTTTTACTGAACACTTCATCTCGGATGCCATAAATCAGAGGGCTGAGAAGTCTCGGCAAACACATGAACAGCAAAAAATTGAACATAATCACAAAGAGAAAATAATCTCCGCGGTATAATTCTGAAAATGAAGAGGTCAGAGAGAGCAGACATAGAAAGAGCTGGACTGCATGAAGGATCACGGTTCTACCAGCCTTGGAGGCTGAAGACTTCCCAGAACCAGTTTTTCGAGCTATTAACATAACCTTGATGTAGGTGAAGAGAATGACCAAAGACACCAGAATTAAACTTACAAGTATGTTGGAGGATTGTATGGTGCTCTGAGCTGGTAGAACAATCAATGACTGCTGCTGGCACAGTAGATTCTGGGAGAAATATTTCTTCTCAACAGAGGAAATGAGGACTATCAGATCAGCCATATTAGGAACCAACCCAACAAACCACATTGCTGCAATAGCAAAATATGTCCTCTGGGCTGTACACAACATGATGTGTCTGAGAGGGAAACAAATAGCCACATATCGTTCCAGGGCCATGAAGGCCAAGTTGTACGGAGTGATTCGGAATGTAGCTGTGGCACAGGTCACCAGAACATAACAGACAGGTACAGGAATATATAAGTAGAATGCAATGCCAACACACAGGAAGAGCGCAAGGCTTAGGTGTATTGTGTCATTGATGAGCATATGAGCAAAGAGGATGTATCGTGCATTCTCCCGGACATGAGGAGTCGTGAAGTAAACCATCAGAAGGACTACGATGAAGTAGATGAAGAAACACAGGCAGAAGATAGTGACTACAATGAGAGCAATCTTTAAATTTTCGGACCGTTGGACGTTTTGGGTGCTATTGTAAGTCTTGTTATTGAAGGTACTGAGTACGGTTAGGTTCATCGTTGGGGGGTGGTGTGAAATGTCTAATAATAAAATATAACAAAACATTCTTAATATTAAAAACAACAATAACCACAAAACTGGTACGCAGAAAAACAAGAACTTCAAGTGCCTTGGCTCAGCCGGCTGACCCTGAGATACGGTCCGAGCATTTACCTCATGTCGGAAGGCGAAGCTGTCCCGCTCACGGTCCCCTCTGCTCACCGGCCGCCTCACCCTCTGCCTGGGGGGCCGCCCCCCTGGAAAATGCCGCCCGAGGCAAACGCCTTGTTTGCCTCGTGCTAGATACGCCCCTGCCTTGGCTTATGGAGAACCCAGTGCTGGTAATGTATGGCGGGCAGTTTTCAGCATTGGAAATAAGTGAGTATAATGATACAACTAATCTCAAATCAACCCTTTATGATGACTCTAACACCTAACCTGCACCAAACGTAACCAAACCCCTAAATCTAACTCTTAACACCTAACCTCCCACAAACCAGAGACGTGCGGACAGGGGAGGCAGAGCCTGACCAAGTATTATGGATCTCCATCCTGATCTGCCTGTCACAGGAGGCCGAGCGGGGTGGTGCGGGAGGAGAGCTTGGCTTCCTGTGACACCACTGATAGCACTCTCCTCCCTGTCCCGCTTGGCCTCCTGAAAGTTTCTCTCCTCCCCGCTTGTCGTTGCTCTGTGAGAGGTCTGCAGCTAAGCAGCCCCATACGCAACAAACTGCAATGCCTTGTGTGTTCAGACACCTTTCTATCAGAACCAGAATTAACTTTTTTCAGCAATTTAAGCTACAGTAGTTCTTCTATTGGATCGGACTATACAGGCCAGCCTTCCCTCCCCACGTGAATCAATGAGCCTTGGCCACCCATGACCCTGTCACTGGTTCGCCGATTTTCCTTCCTTGGACCACTTTTGGTAGGTCCTGGCCACTGCAGACTGGAAACATCCCACAAGAGCTGCAGTTTTGGAGTTGCTCTGACCCGGTCCTCCTAGACATCACAATTTGGCCCCTGTCAAAGTCGCTCAGATCCTTACGCTTGCCCATTTTTTCTGCTTCCAACACATCAACTTCAGGGACAAAATATTAACTTGCTGACAAATATTTCCCACCCATTTCCAGGGGCCATTGTAATATATCCCCCCCACTTCCAGGTGTCATTGTAATATATACCCCCCCCTCCCCGACTCCCTGGTATCAATGTATCCAGGTGTCATTGTAATATATCCCCCCACTTCCAGGTGCCATTGTAATATATCCCCCCACTTCCAGTTGCCATTGTAATATATCCCCCCCACTTCCAGGTGCCATTGTAACCAGATAATCAATGTTATTCACTTCACCTCTCAGTGATCAGCCTGAGGAACCTGGCCTTGGGGAAGCAGAGAGAGTAAATCTGGCCCTGATAATATAGCATCTTTATTTACGACATGCTCCTTCAAATTCCTTTAAGTGCCTTCCTTCTATCAGTACATCAAGTACATGTTGGATTATTGCTTAGTAAGCTCCCAGAGCAATGCATGTGTGCGAGGATCATCTGCTCTCCAATACTGGAGCGGGTTACAGTATGTGAAATGACCCTGTCTGAACAATATCATTCAGGACAACTGAGCCTTTACAAAATGTACAGTTCTACATGTTCTATATAGAATGGAATGTTCTATAACGGCAGTGCCTCCACTCAGAAGGAAATTCCAGTTATAAAAGGAAGATTCTCCTTTAGGGAACTCATATGTCAGTCTACACTGTTTAAGGAGAAATAAGGTTTTCCTCCACTGACTTATACTGTACAATAGAACAGTAAGATGGGGAACACATGTGTGTTGCACTACACCTGAGTGTATGTATGATTAGAGGTACTCCTTACCAACATAGCAATGCAGGGCCCCTTGGGATGCAGTTGAATGTTACAGGTCTCTAACAATTCAAACAGATGGCATGTCTGTTTCACTTCTGTTTGGTCATTCACTCGGCTGCCCTCGGCAGCTTTGTGAATAGACCCCTGAGTCTTCTTTGTTTAATCGACTCCTCAGACAACTGGATACTGATGGGACAATTGTCTGGAACCCTTGACCATGCAGGACCAAAGTCCAACTGGAACCTTCCTGCAAGGTACTTACTGCAATGCCACTGGGTCCCTAGATATATAAAGGGGGCAGACTGATGCCTAACCTATCGCTGAGCCTGATCTCACTGAAGATCCTTTGCTTAAGCACTGCATAAAATCCAAAGTGCTCAAATTAGGGCCATTCGCATGGGCACAGCCACAGAGGTTAGTGTCCAGTAAAAAAAACAGCTACATTGCTACTAGGGATGCACCAATACCAAGTGCCGTACTCGGTACAGATACTTTTCCAGCTCTAAGACTAGACTAGAGAAAAATGTAAAAATTAGGAGGCAGCTGTTATTTGTAAGGAGCACACGGAGCTGCCGGGATTTGTACATCTCTGTTTTAGGGCTTGTTCACACCAAATGCAGACCAGATCTGCATGAGTTTCTTCACACGCAGTGCAGTGTGTTATGCTGTGTTTTTTGCCGCGTTTTTGATGCATTCCGGGCCGTTTTTGGTTTAAAAAAAAATTAAAATTGTTTTTTTTATTTATTTTTATTTTAAAATGGGCTTTCAGTGCGTTCCAGGGTGTTTGCATGCGTTTTTGATGCGTTTGCGAGCGTTCCAGAGCAGGTAAAATAGGGCTTGCTGCAGTTGTTTTACATGCTCTGGAACTGAACGCTGCGGTGTGAACTGGAGCCCAAGATACCATTGGAGTACATTGGACGCAGTTTTGATCCGGTCTGTAACTGCTCCGCTCTGCTCCTGGAACGTGCTTGGTGTGAACAAGCCCTGAGGCTGGGTTCACACCTGGGCATTTTTCAGCGCCGATCGAAGCGCCGAAAAACGCTCAGCAAGTGAAATCCCGAGTGTGGCTCAGGGTTAACAAAGCGGTAACCCAGAGCCGCACTAGGGAAGACATTGTAGGTCTAACCTTGTCCGCGATTCCCATCTGTGTCCTCCGGCTGCTGCCGTCTTCCAGGTTCCGTCCCTTGCGAGCGCCCGCGTCGCAGGGGGGCGGAACCGGCGGGAAATTTGGAAGTAAAAAAAAAAACCCCAAAAAAGATAGAGAAAATAAAGGAAAAAAAATCATACCGCCAGGAAGGTTTAAAAACGCGCGTTTCACTGAACGAAAAAACGTGCAAAAAACGAGCAGAAAAAATGCGCCTATGGTACGCCCAGGTGTGAACCCAGCCTGAATGTATGATTTTGCTTTTATAAACATATACACTGAGTAATCACTTCTACTGTCGTGGTAACCAACCCGCTTCCCTATTTATAATGGTCTGGCCCTCTAGCAACTTCAGCGCCAAATTATAGCTAATTTGCCTACAAACGTCAGGTGGTCATAATAATCTGGCCACTCAGTGTTTAAAGGGATGCACCGATACCATTTTTGCAAGCACAAGTACTGATACATTTTTGTTTATTGTCATGTGACATTTTTTCTAAAACAATACAGACTAATGATTTCAGGACAGTGGTGGAGCACCAGAGCCAAGTCCCAGCTGTAACCACTGCAACCCTGGTAGTTCTCATAAAAATGCCAAGTATCGGCACTGGTATCTGAAGTGGTATCGGTGCATCCCTAGTTGCTACAGAGCATGAGCTTTGCTGATGGCCAAGCTATAGGACCACTGCTTCCACACAGAGAGCAAGGGAACTTCTCTGCAGCATGCTGGCAGGGGACAGGCTTTTCTTCTAAGGCTGAGGCTGCTTTTTAAAGAAAGCAAACTGTAAGACTTTGCGCACCTTTTGTTTTGATGCACCTACAATGCACTTTAATTTTATTTAAACTAACAGCTCAGTTGAGCTTTACTACATTTTTTTTCCTAAATGTGTTCTCACCTTATGATGAATGCAGTTGTATCCTATTTGTATTTGTACAAATACAGTAAATTTGCAGTAAATTCCACACTCCAGCAAAAGCGCTTGATGGGATTTGAAGGTCTCTTTTCTAGATGGGTGGGATGGGTTGGGTGTCAGTTCTTGTGCAGCCTTTGCCATCTCCTATATATGTAACGCTATGTTTATGGGAAGTTGCAGGTCTCTTTTAATAGCCTCTGATAGCCCCGAAAGGCCTCGGCAAATGCCACGGCACATAATCGTACCTGACAAGCGTGTTAACCAGTTCATTAGGTAATCCTCTGGTGATCAAAACAAGAAGGGCTCCAAGGGGTCACTGGTATGCGGTAATGGTTTCCCAAAGGAGTACAAGTGAGCAAAAATGTAAGTCATCAGTTTCTACAGATGAGACAAACAAAGGCCTGACTATTGTGGGAATACATGTCAGACCGTTCCAATCATCATTTTATGGAGTATAACTAAAAACTGGGTCATGATTATGTAAAAAGGGCCCAATAAAGTGTTCTCTTTTTCATTGTGGCGCACAGACTTGGGCTAGGGTTGCCACCTTTTCTTTCAGCGAAACCCAAACACTCTAGCGACGTACTGAATTTTTTTGGGGAGAATGAGTCGCGGCTTCGTCCCATGTAAATATCACAGTCAAGACTATTTTCAGTGGGGGGCCAGTAGCCCCTATCTAGCCCTATCGGGCTTCATGAAAACCGGACACAGCATATAAAACCTGGACTGTCCGGGTGAATCCCGGACAGGTGGCAACCCTAACTGGGGCACAGGTGGCAAACCTTCTATTGCATCGCATTTTCATTAGTGATTTTCCCATATGATTACATTTATCTCTATTATAATATATGTAGCACCCCACCCCTGTATTCTAGGGAAAGGAGGGGCTGACATTTCGCCTTAGGGATGGATCCTTAGGCGGAATGTGGGGTGTATTGAGTAAAATAGGGTGCCAGTGAGTTTACTTTTAGAATTTTTATGATGCTTTATTAAAACCAACAACAAAACAGGGAGAGAGGGAATAGGTCTGCAGATATCTTCACAGTGCAGAGGGTACTCAAGCCAAAATGTGGCACCGTGATAGAGGACCTTAG